CATGCGCCTAGGGGTGGGGGGGAAACCCTAAAGGGGGCGCCCCCCTTGCTTGGGGGGCAAGTCCCCCCACCCTGGCCGCCGCCCCCCCTCCAGATCCCATCTAGAGGGGCCGGCCCCCCTTGCCCCTTCCCCTATAAATAGAGGGGTGAGGGGAGGGCTGCAGCACGACAAGCCAAGGCGCAGCCCCTCCCCTCCCCAACACCTCTCCTCCTTCATACGTGCTTGGCGAAGCCCTGTCGGAGTACTGCTGCACCAACTACACCACGCCGTCGTGCTGCCGTTGGAGCAATCTTCCTCAACCTCTCCTTCCCCCTTGCTGGATCAAGAAGGAGGAGACGTCTCCCGTCCCGTACGTGTGTTGAACGCGGAGGTGCTGTCCGTTCAGCACTTGGACATCGGTGATCCGAATCACGTTCGAGTACGACTCCATCATCACCATCCCCTTGGCAAGCTTCCGCTCGTGATCTACAAGTGGTATGTAGATGCAAACTCTCTCCCTTGACTCGTTGCTTAGATGAACTCATAGATGGATCTTGGTGAAACCGTAGGAAAAATTTTAATTTTCTACAACGTTCCCCAACATTGGGATCACCAACACGAGGATCATCAATATTGCGTTGATGTGCAAATGGATCTGGAAAATTGCCTTGGGGCATCCGGGCTATGGGTCGATCTCCTTAGGGCCAAATATTTCCCTAACGAAAATTTCTTCGAAGGGAGGACAAGGGGCTCCCCCTTCTGGAATGATCTGCAGGCGATCAAACCGGCCTTTGCCATGGGGGCAAAGTTCATGATTGGGAACGGCCGCACAATGCGCTTTTGGACCGATCATTGGGTAGGCACACAACCCTTGTGGGCTACATATGGGGATCTCTATGCGATTGATGTGGACCCAACAGTGTCGGTGGCAGAGGCGCTGTCGTCAACCCCACCGGCGATACACTTTAAACGAGAACTTAGCAGGGTAGAGCAAGCTAGTCTTGCAGCCTTGCTGCAGCTGATTGGCCTATCGGACCAACCTGATACGGTGAGCTGGGCGCTCACCAGCTCAGATAAGTCACGGTTAAGTCGTTGTACCACAAGTTGTGCCCAGGGCCGGCGCAATTAGTGATTAAGGGGCTGTGGAAAGCGCGGATGCCTCTGAAAATCAAACTATTTCTATGGCAAATGTTCCGCGATAAACTCCCCACCTCCCTGAACGTAGCCAAGCGTAATGGACCGTCAATGGCACGTGTGCATGTGCGGGGCACGCGAGGATGCCAATCATGTGTTCTTTTGATGCCTATTTGCAAGGTTTGTGTGGAGCGCAGTATGGTTCGCGGCGGGTGTCCAATGGGACCGTCGATCGGCTGTAAGCGGGTTATTAGACGCAATCCAGGGACCTACTAAGCGGGTTATGTGGAGTTGTGTAGGGGCACTACTCTGGGCTTTGTGGTTAACTAGAAATAAGCTTACCATCGAGGGATGTTTTCCTTCGCACCCGGCTAATATTATCTACAAATGCAATCTCTTCTTGCAGCAGTGGAGTCCGTTGGGGAGGCGCAAGGATGCTGAGATGATCAAGACTGCCCAAGACCGCCTGCTGCAAGTGTATGTGCTGGCTAGGGATCCTTCAACCACGGTCTAGGACGTGGTCCTTTTTGCGGCTTGACGAGCCTGCGCGCTCTATACGGGCTTTTGCCTTGTGATCCGTTAGTGGCTTGCTTAAACAACCGCCTGAACTTCAATGATTTTAATTTAGCTAGGGCCGGTCTGGTTTTTGGTGTTGTTCTTAGTCTTTCTGTCATGTTACGCTGCCTGTTGTGGGCTTTATTAGGTTAAAGCCGGACGCATCTGGCGTCTTCGTTCTAAAAAAGAGTCCTGCTGCAGATGCGCACGGGCGATACAAAAAATTAGATCTTTAGGCCGTCCAAACCAAAAACGCGGCCGAGAGTACAACCAAGCTTAGATCCGCACCTGTTGACCGGCTGCATCAAGAACCCCATGGCTGCCGGAGCTGAGTGTCTGCAACCCTAAACAGGACAAGTTTCCACCGCCGAAACGCTCTCACTAGAAGCAAACCGGAAAGCCCGAGAGGTAGGAGACAGTTCCACCCACTCACCTAATGACGTCGTTACAGGAAATTAATCCACGGATCGAGAAGTCGATGAGGACTCGAGCCACGGCTCTGACGAGAAATCGCCATGGCGTCAAAGTGCATACCATCCCAGCCCACGGCCCATGTCAATCCATGGGCCCTGGAGCAGTCACGTGAGCTTAACGGAGCGAATCTTCAAGACATATCCACCGGGACAGATTACGAGAGCATGTGGGCTCGTGATCACATACTCCGCGTCCCTGAAAAAATATCCTAACACAGGGAAACAATCACTTAAATCATAAAACACCAGGAAAACACCCAAAATGCAAACATCTACAACGAAATTCAGGTGTTGGAGAAGAAAAATACATGAAACAGCCAGTCCGGCGCAATACAGAGGCTACCCTATCAGTGGAAATCACCAATACCTAACCACAAACCCTCTGATGACCTACATCTCAACATATCTTCAAAAACGAGACACCATATCTGCGCCTACAGCCGAGGGGAACGAACACATGAAGACCCAGCAGAAGCACTACCCAGAAACAATAGACGAATTCGTACATCTACAAAAAGTGCAGTGGGTGAACCAACGGAATCTCACATACCATAGAGGAGAACCAACCGCCACAACTACACAAGAGCTTACAAAATTTACAACAACACGCCAGGAACCCACACATACTGACATACCATGAATCCAAGCAAAACCAGAGCTAGATCTGGAAGTTACAGCAGCAAAAACAAGCGAAATCACACGGGGAAGAGAGGGACAAGCTAAGCTAAAGCAGTAGAAATATTATCCCAGAACAACCAACCAACATGAACACCACAGAATCGCCTCCTCTTCTCTCAAGCGCTCTCCCTCTCGCTCACTCGCTCTCTGTCTCCCTGTTGCTTCGAACAGTACCGCCCAAATGAAAATGGGAAAGGGAAATGCACGGAGAAAACCACACCCAACGGGCAGCAGTTAAACGTGCTGCACCGAAACGAATCACGCGCCCGACAAGAAAAGGGGACCCAAAACGTCAACTCCCAGCACGAATCTTGATGCGAGAATGAATGGACACAAATTTGAATGAAAGCCAATTGTAAAACGCTTGACTGAAAAATAGCAAAACCATATTTTTCATGGCGCTATTTTGTATAGCATGCTATTTGTTTTCTTGGAGAAGAGTGAACAAGACATGCACTGACACGGCGGTCGAAGTTGTCGACACGGATGAGGGCGAGGCAAATGCAGTCGTTCGATGGCATCGCAAAGTAAATGTAAGGTGGTTGGTTCACCAATAGCCACCGGGGCCGGTACAAAGACTTTCTGGAGGTGAGATAACTAATTTTCATCTAGACGAGAATTAGTAAATCATGTTATTTTTACAACTTTATTATGAGGAATATCTTTTTTTACGTGTTGTTATGAGGGGTATCCTGTCGTGGGATTTTTTTTAACACCGTACATACGCAAGCACTCATACATACGCGCATATACTCACTTCTATGAACACACATATGCACATCTTACTATTATGAGCACCTTTGAGAGACTGAGCCGACATATCATCTTGAGATTTACGAAGTCACCTTAGACGTCTCGTCGTGGACGCCTCCCACTAAAAGCGCATCGCCGAAAATCCTGAATAAATTCAGGAATAATGCGAGCACCAGAACTTGAACCTTGGTGGATTGGAACTTGATTTTCGCGGGCCATTGGTTTCGGATGAGAACAAATTGTTACCTAGATAGAAACTGCATATGGACGAGAGCGCTTTTGGTGGCGATCTATGAACAAACTTCACTTTGGGAGCGCCATTGGTGGCGATCTGTGAACAAACTTTGTGACCGAAGGAGAGTTTTCGTGGGAATAACAAGGAGGGCATAAGGTGTAATTTCCTTTCGTCCACTTTCGCGGTGCTATTGCTCAGCTAGCCGACCTTATGGTTTGTGGAGGAACCTAATTGGAACTGTATTCACTAAATGACTAGAAATTCTGTATGACTTAAATATAGCAAACGGATAAAAAAAATGCCAAATTTTGACATGGAACGACATGCAACGGTGTATCTTGAATGTATACAAATTTGCGTGGACAATGGATGAAGCAACTTTGACTTCACCTTCAAACCTGGCCCGTTCCCTTTTGAAACTATGACTATTTCTCAAAAAATGCACTAAATGCCTATAAGAGGAAATATAGTTAGTAGAAGAAAATAAATTTGATTTTTTTTACAAAAGAACAAATAATTCAAACAAAAAATGTGCAAAAGAAGGCAATAAAAAAATTTGTTTGCCCGGTGACACATGGCACAAACTCAACAAGCATGTCTTTACCGAGTGTGACAGAAACTCAGCAAATCATGTGTTTGCCTATGTGGCAGAAACTTGAGTAAAACATGTGGTTTGCCGACTGTTTTCCTTTACCCTAGTGTTTTCTTCGTGGAACACTCGATAAAGGTCATGTTTACCTTGTATCCGATGCAAATCCCTCCACAAACAATCTGGCACTTGGCAAAGTTCCAGATCCACTACTGTACTGCTAATCGTAGCGCTTCCCTTGATTTACTGATTAAATCGCACGGCGTAGAAGTAGTTCGATCGCGTCGATCTAGGGCTTCCCTATTTCGTGACGAGGAAAGGCCGAGGAATTGAGTGCGTAAAAATCTGGCAGTTAGAAACGGGGATAGGGATTAGGAGGGGCATTTTCCTTTGTGCGGTGTTATATGAGGGGTATCTGGCCGTGGGATCAAAACAAATTGTTACGTAGATAGAAACTACCTATGGACGAGAGCGCCTTTGGTGGTGATCTATGAACAAACTTGCTTTGGGAGCGCCTTTGGTGGCGATCTGTGAACAAACTTTGGGATATAATATCCGGTGCCGAACGGCGCCGAACTCAAGCGTTCTCCTAAATTAATCTACCATGTCGACCAACGTGGACAGCGTCTCCGCCTCCACCATCACCACCACGGCGACCAAGTGCCATTCCCACATCCTCACAATCCAAGGGTACTCGCAGACCAAATTATTCGCCGATGGCACGTCGGTGGAATCCAAAACGTTCGAGACGGGTGGTTGCACCTGGTACATCTTGTTCTACCCCAACGGGGCATCCGCCGCCGCCGCCGACCGCATCTGCCTCGGCCTCGCCCTCGCCGACAGCTGCGACCGCCCTGTCTGTGTCCATGCCCAGTTCACTATCGTCCCTCACCACGGCCGGCCCGCTCCGGCGACAACGTACTGCAACAGCTGCCGGCTGACCTTTCGTCGAATCGGTGACAATCGTCGTGGTCCGCCCAGTCCATTGATCACGAGGGCAGAGCTCGAAGAATCGGAGTACCTCGTGGACGACGGTTTCGCCGTCCGGTGTGATGTCACCGTTGTCAACGCACGGTGGCGTAGCGATGTGGTCGTGCAGCCGCGTGACCTAGAGAGGGCGGGAATAGCCTGCAGCTGCAAGGACCAACTCTGCAAACGCCGCCACGCATCAAGCTGGGAATCATCCAAGTCCGAGACGACGCCGACACCGCCACAGCGTCGCCGCCGTGCAGGGATTAAAGCGGCGTGGTTTCGACTCGTCAGGCGCACACTGCCATGATGCTCGTACGTGTGTGTTTCCGATCGACGTACTGTACGTCTCTCACTTCCGCATATGTATTAGCGAGTAATATTGGAATACTTCTAGTACCTAGCTAGATCTCCCTTACTATATATATGCTTTCGATTGTACGCTTTCTTCGCTGAGTTATATTTCTGTCGCTTTTGAGAAAATAAGATATATTGAATCAATTTATGTTGATCCGTGTGACACAGGTAGTTTCATTTTGAATTGAAGTTGATTCCGAATTCTTTCAGTGCCACATATACGCATGCATATTTTATGATGCATTATGTATGGTGCATCTTGAAATGTTGATTTTTCGGGCTAGTCAGGAAATTTGACGTTTGATATTTGGCAAACCAGCTTGTGGCACCCTGCCGGGGTTCTTACCTTAGCCCAGTCCAATGTTGGGAGGCGCTTAGGCATATCTGTTCCTCCTAAACCGGGTTCTTGGTTTCCAAGCAAATACATGAAACCATTATGTCTCATTGTGAATGAAAAGACGTTTCCGATATAATATAGTGCGACAAACTAATACGGAGTACTCCCTCCATTCCTAAATATATGCCTTTTTAGAGATTTTACTATGGACTACATATGAAGCACAATGAGTGAATCTACACTCTAAAATAAATCTATATACATCTGTACATAGTTCATGTTAAAATCTTTAAAAGGGCTTATATTTAGAAACAGAGGAAGTACATGCTATTTGCGGAAATGCTGTTTGAGGTTGGGCTACACGGAGCCTGATAACAAGGTTGTTCATATATAATGTATCGTCTTGTATTGGGTTTTGTCACAGTTCACAACCCCATTGCCGTACCCATAAAGCCAACTTGTTTCGCCCATATTTTCAACTCGATGCAGCTGCTCGGACAACGGGAGGTTGGTGGATGAAATTTTCATAATGGGCATATGGACAAGTTCAAATTCCTTCCTTAAATTGTCCTAAAAGAAAATGCAGCACGATAATATATGCTCAAGATGATTCTATCTATAGGACGTGGACTGCCCCTCCATGATCTCAACTTGGAGAATTCCATGTCTCTGGTCAAGTTCTTGTGGATCCTCAAGAACTCAGCCTCCCCTTCATCATCGCATCGGCTGCCTCAACAGCTC